CAACCAACCTTCTAACCAACGTGTCTAACCTTTCAACCAACCTTCTAACCAACGTGTCTAACCTTCCAACCAACCTTCTAACCAACGTGTCTAACCTTCCCTGGAGTTGTGCTCACCACCACTGTGCACCCTGCAGCACTCTCTGTGTGTACCCACCCACTCACCACCATGCACCCCACAGCACCCTCCACGTGTGTAATAACCCTCACATGCTGTGTGCCAGCCCACTCCCCTGGTAGTCTTCAACATGGAATGTGTCTAACCTTCCAACCAACTGTCTAACCAACATGTCTAACCTTCCCTGGAGGTGTGCTCACCACCACTGTGTACCCCACAGCATCCTCCATGTGTACCCGCCCACCTATCAGTGCCTGCCTATCCACCACCTCGCACCCCACTTCACCCTTCATGTGTGCCCGCCCACCCACCACCACCTGCCCACCCACCACCGTCTATTTCCTTCTTCCCTACAGTGTCCTCCTGTGATCAGGAGCACCAATCAGCCCTGGAAGAGGCCAAGCAGCCCAAGAATGACAATGTTGTCATCCCTGAATGTGCACATGGTGGCCTCTACAAGCCAGTGCAATGCCACCCCTCCACTGGGTACTGCTGGTGTGTTTTGGTGGACACGGGCCGCCCAATTCCTGGGACGTCTACGAGGTAAGCTGACTGCCCTCCTAAATGCACATGGTTCAAATCTACCAACTGCTCCATAGAAGGAAGGTGGGCAGTCACCTCCCGTGGAGTTTACTGCCTCTGAGAATCTGCTGGAGGGTCGCTATGAGTCAGTGCTGACTCGACAGTCAACAACAACGTAGACTGTGGAGAGTGTGCTGTGTGAGAGCAGATGGGAAGACTTCCCCTTCACAACTTACACCAGCCACGGCATTGCCTCCTACATCCAGGAGCCAAGACTCCCGAATGCTACAGAGACCACCATGTGGCCAGATGTCTGTGTCCACTGACCACAGGACATGGTTATTTAGAGTCTGGAGCAAAGTGCTTCTGTGATGGCCATTGGGAAGTGAGAGTGGGAAGGCTCCGGCTGAGACGTTGGGTCTGGCATCTGTCAGGCAGCCCCAGTGTTGAGGGAACTCTTGCTACAAAGCCCAGAACTTAGGTCAAATCCAACATCAAGTTCAGCATACTCTTCCCTGCCCTTGGCAAAGGGAACAGAGTGTAATACCCTACAAGGCCTCCTCACCTCTAATGACTTGCTCCAGCGGCAACCTATTTGCTATGGAGTTACTGCCTCTGCACATTTAAAACTCCAGCCTGATCAGTGTGTGTTTAGGTGAAGACTGCTTCTTCCCCGAGGGTGGACTTGGTACAGCTCCAGGATGAGACTTGAGTGACCTCTGCATGGAGGCAGGGTGACGAGGGACAGTGAGGCAGAGCCCATGGCTTCAAGTCTCAGCTCTCAGTGGGAACACCTCAAAGTCACACGATGAAACCTTGTCCTCTTGGTCAGCCTCCTTTTCTGTTGGGACAAAAATAACACACACAGTCTAGAAAAGCTGTCAGTGTGAAATGCATCGCTGTTGCTCAGCTGTCTCTCTCTCCCAACACTGACACTAGTCAAAGTGGCCAAAAACCACTTCCAGGAAAAGGCTCTGACACAGAGCTGCCCTGGAGGACACAGCAGAACTGCCCCATAAGGAGGTTTCCAGGGGCACAGCTGGACCACCGGTGGGCCCTCCTAGGAGCCCACTGCCCACCTTCCTCCTGCAGGGCATCTAGTGAGTCTGAACCCCTGCTTTTAAGCTAGCAGAGAAGCACTTGACCTTTGTGCCACCAAGCCTCCTGCCAATGCAGTTAGAGCAGGGGCTTTGTGCAGACACCCGTCTAGTCCAGTGCTCTGTTCTGTTTGCTCCAGGGTTGGGCCGCTGGGGACTTGGGATTTCTGCTTGGAGGGATTTTCAGGAGAGAAGGCGGGCTCACTCCAGCCATTAATGACAGTACAGACCCTGAGAACACAGTGGGGACCTGGGGACAAGACCGTTATCTGCAGTGGGGCTTGGGCTGGGCCAGGCTGCCTGCCCTCGTGCATCATGTCAGGACAGAGACTCCTGTGCGCATGTGGGGGATGGAGGCTCTGTCCACCTGCAGGGGTCAGTGGGTCAGACGACAGATGTGCGTTACCTGGCTATGCGGCAGCTCCCTCTCCATCCCCTGGCGAATGCTCCTGACCACCTGTGCATCAGTGAACGTCAGTGCCCCTCGGTGCCATCACCTGTCCAGGCTGACCTCACAGCGGCTGACACCCCATCACACCAATGAGCTGAGCAGCGCTGAGACACTTGATACTGAACCCAGGGACTCTGTATCTGGAGATACAGCCGGAGATGTGAAGACATGCTTAAACATGAGACGGTTGTTTCACCAGTACAGCTCATCCCCACACTTGTTTGAAAGCAGCCGCAGGGCTCTGGGATTCAAGCTGCTGTGCTCCCTCTGGCATTGGTGCCAGGCCTCTTAAGATGCTCCCTGCCCAACTTCAGTCAGTCTCTGTCACCTCTGGCCAGCCCAGCTTCTGGGCACTGTGGAGAGGGGACAGTCCCCACAAGGACCTGCAGCAGTCATGGGACCCTGGGGCTGTGTGAATGCATTTTTGCTGCCACTGTGTGTTTAGAGAGACTGAAAATTAGGCCAAAAGTGCTTCTAATGTGAAGTGCCAGTGTTCTCCTAAGACGGTCATGGTGGGAAAGCAGGAGGGTTGGGTCTATTGTCTGCACAGACCATGGTCGTGAAGCCCCCTAGATGGTTCAGTCGGGATGGAGGGAAGGCCTGGCTGCTGATGGAACAGCTGGCGGAGAGACTGGAGTATGAGTTACGGCACTTCCTTGTGGTGCCGGTGCCAGTGCTCGTGTCCGTGGGGAGTACACCCTAGCAGCAAGCACGAGTGTGTCATGTGGAGTGACAGGTCCTCATGTGTGCTGGGAGCCACAGCCTCAAGCCAGGCGTCCTCACCCCTACGACCCCCTCACTGCAGGTACGAACAGCCCAAGTGTGACAACACCGCCCGAGCTCACCCAGCCAAAGCCAGGGACCTGTACAAGGGACGCCCACTCCAGGGTGAGTAGCAGGGCTGGGCTGGGGATGTGGGGTGTTTAGGGGGGGATGTGGGGTGTTTAGGGGGGGATGTGGGGATGTGGGAGAGAGGAATGACTGAGGATAGAGGTGGTTTCTCCAGCATTGCTCCTGGTGGGTGTGGCCTATGAGACCTCCTGACATCTCCAGACTCACCTGAGCTGCAGGTGAAGCATCTGCCTGGCCTTTGGCTGGTTGCAGTCACGTGGGGCCAGCCAAGTGGGAAGAATGTCAAACGTGGGGCCAGACTCAAGTGCAAACAGTGGCACCTTAGCTTTCACTACCCTGTGACTTGTGTGTGCTTCGGAGATTCTCACCCCAACTGCTGCTCTGCTGCACCTCAAGGGAAGAGCCAGTCACCCCGGATCACTTCCCGACGTTCCAGTAAAAGACAATCAGGGGTCTGAGAAGCTCCACGTGGCTTTGAGCCCGTATGAGTGAGTTCCGTGGGTTTCACATTAGCGTCGTAAATGCTGTGCTAAGCCGGGTCTCCCGCGTGGAGGCTGTGATGGTCTGCCCCTTGGTGAGATCCCGTGTGGTCAGTCAGTCCTGGGGTCTGTGCAGAGCAGGCAGGGGCGGAGGAGGCTTCTCACTGGCCTCGGGGTGTGGCCCTCTCACTGCACCTTTGGGGTGTGGCCCTCTTGCTGCCTTTTCTTTTTCTTTCTCTCTCTTGTTTTTGAGTTTTGTTTTTTTGGGTTTTTTTAGTGAAAGCTTGCAAATCCTATTTATTGATTTTCCTTCCAATCTTTCTTAGACATTGTTTTATAACGTTAATTACCACTGATTAATGGCAATATTAATTACCCCGTTAATGTTTGGGGTTGAGAAGGGTGTGGCTGTTGCTTGTAACTGGGGGTGAGTCAGCCTGGGGCTATTTCCAAGCTGAGAGAATGGCCAGATTCTCCAAAAGTGTGTTTTCTGGTTTGGGTTTTTTTGTTTTTGTCAAGCTCCAAATAAAACAGGCTTTGAAGCAAGAGTGGCATCTACTTTCAAAAAAACCTCGCCTCTGGAAACTCTATGAACTTGGAGAAAAGATGAAAGTTTTGTTTTTGAGACTTTCATTCATAGGGCCCTTATGGATCATCTACTACTGGTGGTGGCACTTAACAACAATGATAATGTAATTAGTGAATTTCAATATCTAATCAATTGCTTATTGCAGATTACCTTTCCTTGTGCCCAGTTTATCTATTGTTTAAATTTTACTTCCCTCCCCCACCTTCCCATCCCTGATTACCCTCCAGCATTGATTTTGTGTGTAAACCTTTCCTTACCTTCTTTTAAAAAATATTTTTTTTGGTTTGCTTAGATGGTTCATGTACATTGTGTTTCACACGATTCTTCATCTACATGGCGTGTCATACAATCATTACCATTCATTATGTTTTATAAAATTAATCACCGTTAGACTATGCCCACCTTTGCCTTGTCTTTTCAGGTCCCCCTGGACTTTCCCATTTCCCTTACCCCCTCCCTCCACCCACCGAACTGTGCAACCCTGTGATTTCACCCCAGCCCACCCTGACCCCTCTCACCCCTTCTCATAGCATAATTATCTTGTTGTGGTGGCTCATGCCACTCAGCATAATTTGTTCTGGTTTCATTCATGTCATCCAGTTTGCACATAATTTTTATACTTTTTAATGATGAAAATACTCTGATGTTAGTTAATTAGAGTCCCTGCACTGTAATGTAATAGCATGTGCCCCACATCCTCCCTGCAATTCTCCTTTCCATCCACCCTTCTATCTGACCTGCCCCCCGACTTTCTCCCTAAGCAAAGGCTGCCTTTTTTGTCTGTGTGACAGCTTCCTGTTTGTGGATTACCCCCGTGCACTTTCCAAGTAGGTGAATGAAACGCTGTCATGATCTCTTTTCCACCATGTTGAAGACATAAGCTGACCTGTGCTTGGTAGAGACAGCTCTTGGGTTAGGAATCGATTCCCCTGATTCTTCTGTGAAAGCTCAGCATCTTCAAGTGTCCCCTGGAACTATGTCTGAGCCCAGAACAATAAAGAACCTCACTTGCCAGGTAGCTTGGCTGAGCGCTAGTCACAATCCCCTTCACCGTCCTCAGTGGGACAAGCTAGAGTCGCTTTGAGTCCCTGTCCCATGGAGGAGGTAGGAAGTCTGTTTGCTTCTCTCAGTGGGGGGTAGGGGGTGTTGCTTGGTTTCTTAGTAATTTTTTAAGTTGCAAAAAAGATATAAACACACTTTTTGTGCTGTTTGGTTTATTTGTGTGACCAGAGTTCACTTCTTTTTTTAATGTCTTCACAAGGAAGGGAGGTGAGACAATGGAGCTTTGCCCTTTGGGGAGGGGACTCTTAGGTGCAATGTCCCTGCTTGGGAGAGTTCCTGCGACGGGAATGTCTTCCTGCAGTGCAGTGTCTGCACTTTGCAGAAGCAGCTGCTGAGGAACGATCATGGGCTGTGGCCAGGGCATGGCCAACATCTTCCCTTTAATATCAGTCAGGTGCAGGTTTTCTAAGCTGTCTGCACTGAGCAGCATAAAAATCTTCATGAAGTTAACAGAGCTTCAAAGAGCCTGCTTCTACCTGCCACAGAAGTGTGAGATGAAGCCAAGTGCCGTATCCTAGGTACTGCCGTATCTTCCCGAGCTCGACGGGCAGCAAGTGTGGCATCTTCTAAGGAGGCTCTCCCCTCCCTGTTAGCATGAAAAGCACCGCTCTTCTGGATTAACTCTCTGGGCCATTTGCAGGGGCATCCTTGATTTGGAACCTCGGGGGTTGTGGCTGTGTTCTTGGTGACGCCAATCTTGGTCATTGCCCATTGCCTTGTTCTGACCCCACATTGGTTCTCTACGTGAGCAATCAGCTTGAGTTCTGCTTCACGAGACAAGCTCCTTTCTTTGAAAAGGAGGAGGTGGATGGTGGAGAGCAGTCAGGAAGGTACCAGTATGGTAGACGGCCCCATGCGCACATCAGGCCCGAGCACTGTGCACACAGCTCACCTGCGGGGCTGTGGAGCAGCAGCTGAGTGGAGTCATCTCTGGGTCCCCGTCGAGAGAGAGCACCCTTCCTCTAGCATCTAGTAGAAACTCTTGCTTTGTGGTCAGAGTTTGTTGTTATGTACCATTGAGTCACCTGTGACTCATAGTGACCCTATGTAAAACAGCCCTGAATCCTGCCCTGTCCTGAGCCAGTCTCACTGACTCCAGCATACCTACCTTCACTGCCCCAGTTACTGTGTCAGTCCATCTCATCTGGGGTCTTCCTCTCCTGCACTGTCCCTCCACCCTTCCAAGCATGATGTCCTTCTCTAAGGACTGGTCTTTCCTAGCCATGTACTCAAAGTATGTGAGGTGGAGTTTCTAAATCCTTACCTTCAAAAAGAAAGTTGGTTTCATCGTTTCCAGGACATACCTGTTTGTTCTCTTGACAGTCCATGGCATGTTCAATACTCTTCTCCAGCACCACAACCCAAAGGCATTGATTCTTCTACCATCCTTAGTCATTGTCCAGCTCTCTGATTCATAGCAAGTAATTGCAAAGACTATGGCCTGGGTTAGGCATACCTTAGTCTCTAGACTGACATCATTGTTTCTTAGTACTCTGGAAATGTCCCTGACAACAGATTTTCCAAATGCAATTCATCTTTCAATTTCCTGACTGCTGGTGCCAAGAGTGTTGATGTTGGAGCTGAGCAAACTGTGACTGTTAACAGTCTTAATCTCTTCTCCACCATGATAATGGTGCTGCGTCTGGCCGAGTGGTGAAAATATTTGTCTTTTTTTTTTTTCCTATAATTATATTTTATTAATTTTCATAAACATTTACAGAGATTTTGGGCTTCCACTCATTCACTGTTGCACTATTCTCTCTACCCTCCTCCCAGTTTGTTCTTGTCCAAATGCCACAGTGCTTGTCAATATTTGTCTTTTTGATGTTGAGCTTCAATTCATATTGAAGACTACAGTCTTTGACCTTCTGTAGCAAATGCTTCATGTCCTCCTCAGTTTTGGCAAGCAACATTGTGTCATCTGTATAACACATGCTGTTGATGCGTCTTCCTCCAATCCTGATGTCACATTCCTCCTCAAAATGTCCAGTTTCCCGAATTATCTATTCCACGTATAGATTGAGATAGGATGCATCCCTGACACACTCATTTCCTGATTTTGAACCATGCAGTGTTTCCTTGCTGTGTTCTGAGGACTGCTTTCCGGACCAAGGATAGGTTTTACATGAACACAATCAAGTGTTCTGGGATTCCCATTCTTCTCAAGGTTAGTCACAATTTGTTGTGATCCACGCAGTCAAGTGCCCTCGCATAGTCAATGAAACACAGAAAGATATCCCTCTGGTACTCTTTGCTTTCTGCCAAGATCCATCTGACATTGGCGATAATGTCTCCAGCGTCACAGTCTCTTCTAAACTCAGCTTGTATTTCTCGTAGTTCTCTGTCAATGTATTGTGCCAGTCATTTTTGGATAATCTTCAGCAGGATTTTGCTTGTATATGGTATTAGTGATATTGTTTGATTATTTCTATCAGATCACCCCTTTTTTTTGAATGGGAACGATCATGAGTCTTTCCAGTCAGTTGTCCAGGTAGTTGTCCTCCAGATTTCTTGGAACAACCTGGTGAGCACATCGAGGGCAGCATCTGTTGAACTATGTCAATTGATATTCCATCAATTGACCTTGTTTTTTGCCAATTTCTTCAGAGCCGCCTGAACTTCCCCTTTCGTCACCATTGCCTCTTGATTATATGTTTTATGAAATTCTTGTGTCAGCTAGTTCTTTTTAATACAATGACTCTTTGTACTCCTTCCATCTTCTTCCCTCCCCCCCCCCATTCCATCTTCTTTTAATGCTTCTTGGATCATTTAATATTCTGCCTATAGCGTCCTTATGTTTTGCAACTCGAGTCATGTTCTTCAGTTCCTTCTTCTTAAGGAAATGCCAAGTGAATTTGTCCCTTTTGATTTTCCTACTCCAGCTCTTTGCACATTTCATATTAATA